TCTCGCTTCCTCAGATCACTGTCGCTGGCTCGCACAACCCAATTACTACACAACATAGTTATGTCATAGCTCTGCAAGGGCCTTTTCAGACCGAAAAAGATGGCCCCCAACAAAACAAACAATTTTCTCATTCAGTATTGTCTCTCAGCACCACATGTTTTCAGAGTGTTTATTATGCGTTCCGTCCAAAAAAAAAAAACGCAGTTCAATTTTCTCCCATTGACTTGAGCGATCTCAAAATTGACCCGGCCTTTCTGTCAACAATGTCAAACTTGCAAGGTAAACGTTTCAAATACATAGACTGTTGCCCATTAAAATCGCTGAAAGTTCTGAAGCGATCGGTTAGTTGGTGTATTAAGATATGATGAGCACAGGCACTTTTCTTGAGGTAAGGTCACTTGACGTGACCTGGTATTATGACCTTGAATAGAAAGACTTGTGCGGGAAAAATGGGTCATTTGAAACCTTTCTGGTACCCCATTTTAAAATATCAGTGACCTCTTAGGGCAGGTCAAGGGCCCCAAGGCATTTGATCGGTTTTGGTAAAAAAACTAAGCACATTATCGTCATTTCGACACAATCGTGTTTTCTGTTCTCAGACGCGTCGATTTACGAGTATATGCTTTTTTGTTTAGGTGAAGCAATTTAGGATGTTTACCTCAGGTCAATGTCATGTTAGGGCAACACAGGTCACGAAGCTGTTGAAAGGAGGACATGTTGCATAACATTTGATTCGACAAGTCTTGCAAAGTCCATTGATGGCTGTCCCGACTGGCTAGCTCATTTTGATCGGGAGTTATTGACGAAGCACTCGTATGACCCTAGTGATGTCATAAATGACGTCACGCAAGGTGAACAATGCAAAAGTGAAGCATTAGATCTTGCCAAGAATGTATGAAGTCACGATTTCATGTGCTTGAGGTATAGTTTCAGATAATTTCCGACGCCAAATTAACAGTTTCCATTATTCCCCATTATGCTTATATGTCACTAAGTGCATTGCGGATTGCATCATTTTATTACCGACAACCGTGCAGAGGTTTACCTAATTAAGACATCATAGTGAAGTGACCTGACCTGAAAACGTGGTTGATGTCAAGTGATTCGGCAATGAAATGTAAGGCATGTGAAATGTCAGCCTTCTATCATCATTGTGCTTTGAGCTACCGCAAAAAAATACATGGTGGCGGCATCCACCCCTTCTTCTCGGCCGGCGAGGGTTAAACCTCGCTTCGAATTATTGCAGATAATGATGCGACCAAAAACAAGGCATTTATCGATTATCTGTGTCTAGAACGGCCGCTGACTTGTTGGACAAGATCCCCAATCTTAACCCTCGCCGGCACAGGGGGGGGGGGTTGATGCAACCCCCCCTAAGGTTTTTCGCGAATAACTCGCGTAAAAAGCGGCCGATCGCGACGAAACTTTCAGTACCCTCGCATTGATCAATTTTACACCTACCCTGAAAAATTCATGACCCTGACCTTAATGACCTTTGACCTGTGACCTCTTTTCTGTGACCATGTTTGGCCGAAATCGCGGTTCGGCACATGTCGGCTCGCATTAGCCGCGCGTTTGCAAGCTTTTCGTGGTTTCAAACGTTCAAACATGTGATTTGATGTTGCTCCCATGCATTAGGGTGGGTGTCAAGGTCACCTGAGGGTCAGGTCAGGTCATTGACCTTTGGTGACCTTGGGTGACCTCGGTTCACTTTTTCGAGTTTTACATGTTTCTAGGCTAGTTTTTGGAGCTGAATTCGAATTTAGCAACCATTTGAACATTTACGAAGTAGTTTTGGTGCCTTCGTAACATGTTACGAAGCTGTCCGAGGCGGTTGACACGTATTACGAATACCCGTCACAACCCCTACCGGTTGACCTGACCTGACCTGACCCGACCTGGTCTAAATGCTTAAAGACATCATCTCTGATCAAAACTAACACGATATTCGTGATCAGCACCCCGGAAAACCACATAGCAGCCACACTTTACGACTTTCTAACAGGTCCCGATTTTCCCGGTTTTCGGGTCATTGACCTGACCTGGAAGGTCACCCGATGACCTAGGACCCTAAAATTGGGTATCATCGGCTTCGTCTCGTGACGGGCAACACGCTCGTTTTTTCTGCGAAGCTCTAGCTTGATCAGAGGCCAAACGCGAGGGGGGGTCGTACCAACCCCCCCCCCCTTGTGCCGTCGAAGGACTCAAAATGGCCTGTGCCGGCGAGGGTTAATTCGCTAGATGGGAATAAAATACTCGGTATGTGATAATGTGATACATATAGTTATACCCCTCGATTTGCCCTCGCGCTAAGTCTATTCTAATCATCACTGTCGCTTTTTTTATCCGAGATGATGTCCGCCGCTAAACGGGTTGTTTTGTTTGCTTGCTTGCGTTGAATGGCCATTACGGATTATTGAAGGATTATGATACTTGGGGCAAGGGAGGATATACACTGCAGGTGTTTAATTTAGATCACAAAGGCATCATTTCCGGTATCGTGCAGAGTCATTATCTTCCCCTCCTCTGCACTGCGTCATCTCTGCGCCCCACACACTGCGTCCTCACTCCACGGCCGGCCGCCGCCAACTGACCCACTCGCCGGGCGCCGCGACCTGACCCGTGTCGCTGCCGCGGCCTGCGCAATAGAGTCGGGGCTGGAATCCGGGGGTTCGGCCGGCCGGCCGCCCCTGGAGCGGGGGACTTTTTTAGTAGGCCTACTGGACAAACAGCGCCGCCACAGAGATGGTTAACAGTCGGGTCAGGCCACGAAGCTGGGTGAATGAGATCATATTGCACATCATTCGATTCGCAAGGTCTTCCCGAGTCCATTGGTAGCTGTCCCGTCTCTCTAGCTCAATTTGATCGAGAGTTATTAACGAAAAACTCTTATGACCCTAGTGACGTACGAATGACGTCACGCAAGGTCAACAATGCAAAAGTGAGGCAAAAATGACTTCAATTGAACTTTCAGTAACTAGTGATGTCACTAGGCAGCTTTACCACACCATTTGTAGGCTCTCTTCCGAAATCACAATTCGAGACCATTACGGTGACGCAAAATAAGTATATTTATAGAAAGAACACCTTCCTAATTTTTTTGCATTTAAAAACGATCCAAAAATGTTTTTAAGTAAATAAAAATTCAAAAAAAAAAAATTGGTCCCAAAGGTATAAAAATGCAAATGAAAGGAAACTCAAGGTGTTATATATCAAAAAATAGTACACATTTCAAAATTTTTAACCCTATTAGTGGCAGGGGGGGGGTTGTTTTTATCCACCCCTCAGGTTTTTCGGGAATATCTCCGAAACCGCTGAAGCTACGATGCTGAAATTTTCTGACTTTTCCTAAAACTAAATTGGGCACATTCCCTGAAAATTTCAAGTTCATAACTTTACCAGGGGCGGCTCCAGAGCACTGGGAATTGGGGGGTCCTATTCGTGAAGCGAGTCATTTGGGCGAAGATCACGATGCTGCACCAGTTTTACAAACAGTGAATGAAAGGTATCATGTGATAACATATACAGTTATTGTGCATCCTCTTTTGACACGTTTTTGCTATAATAGGCGGATCCAGGCGTCCAAAAAGGGGGGTTATGTTTTACCTCCCAACATAGGTGCCCTGACACCGCCTATGCATGACCAATACAATTGTAGTCGTTCTCTCATAAGAAAATTGTAACATAACAAGACCATTACCACCCTTTTTAGAAACAGTACCAACAAAAACCTTATTTACTATACTTTTTGTGCACCCCCAATCTCAATGATCTGTATCCGCCTATGATTTTTGAAAATGCATATTTTTAGGATCCATGTGAATTCCTGGTTCATTCTCTATCGATCGGCAAAAGTTGCGTTAAGATTGGTTCAGAAACCTGGCCGTGATAAACAGTCTAAAATGTATCTGCAATTTGCCCGTTTTTACCCCCCTCTACCCCCCCCCCCCTATTGACATTTTTAATTTTTATTTTTTTAGAAATGTAGATCACGTTGAGCGAAATCGAATGCCGTTTGAATTTTGAAAATCGGCCCGTTAGATCTCGAGATATCAAGGGGGGGTCGTAAACAGCCCCCCCCTGCCACTAATAGGGGGTAGCCAGGAGCCTGCCACTAATAGGGTTAAAATGCATATTATTCATTGATTCAATGCAAGTTCAAAGCCGTATAGCATTTGGCATTTGGATTATCCGTCTTAGAGTTACAGGCTACAGCCCGCCAAACTTGGGGCTGCAACGCAAGATCCAAAACATGTTATACACTATAACTCAAAAACCACTCATCTGATAAGCCTGAAATTGTTACAGGAGAATTCAGAGCCCCTGATTACCCCTTAGACCAATTATCGTTAAAATCCGAGAGAAAAGGGTGTCAAATTGGAAAAAAGTGGTACGATCTATCGTGGAATGCCCCTGCTAACAAGTCACGTCACATCAAGCTTATTTTTGGTTTACACTAGTAGTGTCAACTGTCAATTACGGAAAATCGGAATACCGATACCAAACCAAATACCAACCAAAACCGTGGGGAAATACCGAAACCAAACCAACTTGGGGAATATGTGTGAAATACCATTTTTTTTACCGATTTCTTAGCCCCTTATACCTATATTAGCGAGGGCTCATGATACCAACAAAATACCAAACACATTACGTTTGAAATACCAAATACCAAGTTGGTATCGGTTTGGTATCGGGATACCTACCAAAAAGTTAGTATCCGATTGACGTCTCTAGTTTACACATTCGTAAATACATGCCATTGCCTATGACACTCCAAGGATACCAAGCTTGTAGGTACTTTTAGTTTTTAGGGTCAAGGCTGGGTCAGCCTAGGTCACGGAATTTTACATGCACCCGCATTCGACAGGGATCCGAGTGAAATCCCCACAAAGTTCTGCTGCAGCTATGAACTACATAGGTATCTTTGTAATGCCACATGCTAAAACGATCGCACAAAAATGATCTCCACAGTGGTAATGGTGAAACGCTTTCCAAACCTGAAGGACGATTGTGAGCTAGTCGGGTTGAGCCACCCGCTATGCGGTGCCTGTGCATCCCACCCCTACGGTAGGGTACGCGTCGGCTGTGCTTCACACAGTGGCGAGTCTCAAGGTCCAAATCAGACAGAACCAGAACGGAACTCGGCTGAAATAACAGCAAATAGAGCATTCACCAGCTAGCCTAAGGATGAGGTATGTTGTGGTCAATCAGGGAAGAAACCATATTGATTCCTGTTTTCCTAGAATGTACGAGTATTTATATTTTACCTGTCTACTACATATTAACTTCCAACACGTTGAAAGTTACAAGCATAATCTAGATATTCGTGTGCCTATGTCGATAGATGAAAGTTGTTTTAGTAGGTCTTTTTAACCACGGCTGGTGAAAGTTATCCCGCGCAGGACTGGGGTATTTTCCATAACGCGGCTGACTGGGGGGGGGGGGGGGGGGGCTCAACAGAGCCCCGACTTCTATATCCTAAACTACTGGGCCGATTGTCAAAATTCAAACGGCGTCTGTTAGCCCTGCACAAACTGACGGAAGAAACCTAATTTCATTGCCCTCAAAGTCTCCGATGACGTCACAGGACAGGTCAAAGTAAAAATGATCAACATTTTGACTAATGCACAATTTGGGCTCTGGCCGCCGGCTAACAAGTCAGTTCAGAATCATTTTTGGTTTGCATACTCGTTGATATTATATGATATGCAATATGATATATATTGATATATGTTGTTATATTAAATACACCTAACGCGTATAATCCAGAATTGAAGGATCCAAAGCATGCGATAGCATGCTTTTGCATCCGGAAATTCCCATTGGTGGGTCGCTGAAAAAAAGTTCGGCTGAACCTGTTTGTCAGTGAGTGAGTGAGTATGTGAGTGAGTTTGTCCAAGCTTTTTTGGACCTGGAGTCAAAATGGGTGGACCGATCGGGACGAAAGTGGGACCGTTTGATTCGTCTCCGGCGAGGTAAACTTTTGGTGCTGGCCTCGGTTCGCTCGGTGCTTCGTGGCACATGCTATTCCGCTTCAAAGCTTCGGTGACGCGAAATTTTTTGTCAAGGCTACAGGTCAACCCGAGGTCACGGGCAAAGCCATACTGGTGGGACACATCGGTAACACCTTGAACCAGTTTCCAGGGGGGTCAACGTCTGCGAGGGGTGCAGGCTGCACGTGCTGGGGTCGGAAAACCGTTTTGACGTGAGTTCCTCTGGCTCAAATAAATTTTAAGCTATCAACCTCAAAATCGGTTCAATGGTAGACCCAGGCAAGGCCTCCAAAATAATGCACATTTCATTGGGCTATGGATCCTCCAATTCTGGCCCAAGGCAACGCACGAGCGCTGCCGGCATCTAGTATAATGTTTGAAGATATCGGGCTAAAACTTCCTAGAAGCAGTTTTCCCAACACACCATGAGGGTACCGAACTTGTACTTCGCATTGTCAGGTCAAGGCCAGGTTATCCTAAGTCAAGAAAATTTTATATCGTGAACTGGTCACGCGATACCTACATGTTTTTTTTTTGGTCCATTTCAGTCATAGATTTTGAATACATTGTCCCCTCTGTCACTTAGACCATTTTCAGCTGAATAAAGCTGAGGTCAGGTCACTTTCAGGTAAAAAAGGGTCAAATTTCGAAGTTGAGATTTTTCAACAAAACATGGTATCTATCAATCTGCACATTTATCAGATCCAGTTTGAGCTCAGGAACACGATGGCCCTATTCATCTTGGTGTAAGATGTCCAAAAAGTCTGAAAAATGGATCGGAACAATTGATACTAGTGAAATATTAACCCTCGCCGGCCGAGGGGGGGGGGCGGGTGCCGCCCCCCCATAGGGTTTTTTCGCGATAGCTCCGAACACGCTGGCGATAGAGAGCTGAAACTTGGCATACCTGACCTTTGATCCAAGCCGCATCTTTTGACACCAACCGCATTTTTGGGTCAGGTCAGGTCACTGACCTATGACGTCATAAGTGAACCTCTGCACGGTCTTCAGATGTCGCAACTTCGCAACGCCCTCACTGCCAGAGGAGATGTCACAGGGAAAGGAAACTTGCAGGATCTAGTATCCATTATGAGTCTCACATCTTGTATATCTCGGATTTTTCCTAAAGGTCATATGAGGTCAGGTCATTTTCGTGACCTCACCATTATAAGTCAATGGGGAAAAATTCAAACTGCTATTCTGGCGCCGGGAACGATCTCCAACTATCTCAAGCACACAGAATCGTGATTTAATGCACTCCTTGCAAGGTTAGATGCGTCACTTTTGCAATGCTGACCTTCCGTGACGTCATTTATGACGTCATCAAGGTCATATTAGTTTTTCGTCAATAACTCCCGATCAAATTGAGCTAGCGAGTCGGGAAAGCCACCAATGGACTCAGGAAGACCTGCCGAATCGAATGATATGCGACATGACCTCTTTCGACTAACTTCGTGACCTGGGGGTGCTGACCTGACCTTGACCTGAGGTCAACACCCCAAGTTGACCTGACCCGGACAAAAAGTATATCATTCGACGCGCCTGATCAGGGCGAACACGATGCTGCCAAAATCGCGGCTCTGCGGCCGTTTTTTGCGAAGTTATTCACCAAAAACTGAACCGTACCCTGGGGCACTTGACCTGACCTCAGAGGTCACCGGTTGACCTAGGACCTTAAAATCGGGTACCAATCTCTGCGTCTCGTAACGGCGCACACGCTCGTTTTTTTCCGCGACGCGCTAGCTCCACCAGGGGCGAAACGGCGAGGGGGGGGGGGTCGTACCCGCCCCCCCCCCCCTCGGCCGGCGCGTATGTAGAAAACCAATAGGTCCGGCGAGGGTTAACTATACCTACCCAACGCGTATAATTTAATGTTTGAAGATATCGGGCTAAAACTTCATAGAAGTCGTTTTCACGACGGAATAGCGGGTAGGTACGTACGTACAGTCCACAGCAGAAGTAATGTGGGGTTTCAGTCATGGGTATGTTCTGCTTCTGAATGCTTAGGAACGATTAGCCAGACTACAATGAAACTTTGAATGTAGCTTATATGTATGTATCGTCACCCTTGCAGCTGCAACTTTAGCTATTGACATCTTCTTTTCGATCACTCCGCATTAAACAATCGCCAGTCAAAGCCAACCGTTGAGATTGGTAAAACCCTACATTACTTTAGCGGTGGGCTGTACCTATGTAATAGATACCTGTTTGGTCCTTTGATACCTCAGGAACTTGAGTAGTTCTTACTAGAAGGTTTTCAACCTTTCGAATGAGTGGCCCATTACTTCGCTGCTTTTCTACTAAATATTATTACATTAATTTATTTTTACCACTCGCGTAAACCTAAAGCGTAAGCACGTTTATGAAATTATCAAATCTATATAGTGTTAGTACAATGATTAGACAATATACCTACTGAGCTGCCAGCTGCGGGTGACCGAGCTCTTCAAATTGACGCTGGCTTGTATTTCGAGCCGTAGTAGACGGCGGAAGTCGATGTCACTGCGCCCGGGCACCACCATGACTGACCGAGCTCCCTGAATTACACGCTGGCTTGGCTTTGGACCGCAGCAGACGGCGGAGGTCAATGTCATTGCTAGGGCGGCGTCGCCGGCGCGCAGCGTCGGGCCGGTGAACCAGAAGCCAGCTGGCGGGTAGCTAGTTGCCACGCTGATTTGCTCACTCATAGTAGAAAGACGAGATACTAGAGCCGAAAATTGCTTTGTTTGTAAAAAGTAAGTGATTTAAGGGCAAAAACTGCCCGGATTACAGCTTCTAAAAATATTTTGAAGATAAAATACTTCGGTTGTAAGGATTCTAAGGCCTCAAAGGATATAGGTACTTTCCAGGTATTAACCCGCGCCCCGCTGGGGGGGGGCAGAATCTGCCCCCCCCCCCCCCTCCCGTTTTTCGCCAATAACTTCTAAACGCGTTACGCCAGCGACGTCAAACTTTCAGTACCTTATCATACATCAATTTGACACGTTCCCTGAAAATTTGAGCGAAATCCGTTGGAAAATTTTTGAGAAAATGACGTTTTAGCGACGTCATGTTCGCCATTTTCGCCTCAAAAATCGCAAAATTTCAAACGCCGCTAACATCTTCATTTTTAAAGGGATCAAGACGTAACAAAAAAGGTTATACGTGATTCTACTTTTTCTATCAAATGGCTATCTCGGTTTTTTGAAAATTTTGGATTTTGGCCCAATTGCCCAATTTTTTTTTTTTCAAAAAACCGACTTTTTTGGGAAAATAATTATAAAATCCAAAATTTTGAGTTTATCGAAAAACCGGAATATATATCAGAGAAGTGGTCTATGTGCACCTACATACCAATTTTGAGAAGAATCGGTTCAAAAATGTGGGAGTTATTCGAAATTTTATGACGTCACGACACACAAAATTTTTGAAAAAATGAATTTTTTGGAGTTTTAGACCTCGTACGGAAACAAAAATAGCACCATTCGACTCGCCGTGAAAAACTGCATCAGATAGACACCTTTTTAGGCCTTAACAACCAACTTCAAAATTTGACCTCACTTGACCTGACCTTGACCTGACCTTGACCTGAACTTCATCCAGAGGTGGTCCATATCACTAATTGAGTGTGCCTATTGAATTCTATGAATAAAATGACCCATAAAACATGTGTCGCATATACCCCTTTCTATATTTTGTTTTTGGTGACCTGACCTGACCTGACCTGACCCTGACCTTGACCTTTGAATGATATTGTGTGCAACGAATATTGTCTTGGTAGCCTAAGAACACGTTTTGGGCAATCAGTCTCAGTCCATTCTTCGGCAATTACGGTGCAAGGCCGATACTGTAGAAACTTGCATTTTGTACCCTTGACCTGACCCTGACCTGACCTCTGACCTACTTAAGCAAAAAAAATTAAGCTCTAAAGATTCGCCTCGTTGAGAGCTTTCGATTGCCGTTTTCCCCGTCTTTCTACGACCATCGGTTCGGAAGTTAGACAGGGGGGGGGGCAGAATATGCCCCCCCCCCCCAGCAGGGCGCGTATGGCTGAATAGCCCAGCGGGGCGCGGGTTAAATAGGTTCCACCACGAAAGTCCAGTCATGAAAACGACCAGAGTATATCAACCGTATGTGTTCTATCACACATATTCCGTTTTTTCGAAAGTTAAA